GTCCTGTGATTTGTCGGTAGTCTGCAACGCTGAGGGTAATGGCTAAAAATCCCACAGCTTGAATTTGCGATGCTATTATGCTAGAAAAAAAAAACAGTTGTAGTTTTGCTTTGTATCATTAAGGCCAAGATTTTTATGTTGTTGTAAATAGAATGAGAGAGAAAAAATGAATTTGAAAAGGCAATAAAAAATTTTATTGAGTAAAAACGCAGCAGTGGTTGTTTTGGCCCCTAAATCATTTCTGACTAGTGTTTTTTCAGTTCTTAACCAGCAATCATTGATCCTCCATCTCCATCATAAGCTGTGTCTTGTTCAGAACTCTAGTGTTTAATAGCAGTCGGCAATGAAAAAAACGAAAGGGATTCACACATATTCAATCACAGATCAGACTCTTACAGCATCATCTGAACTCTTCAACTGCATGAAAATTGAGTGTGCAAATATATATATATATATATATATATATATATATATATATATATATATATATATATATATATATATATATATATATATATATGTTAAATTCTAAATGTATAATAAGGCATAAAGTACATACAGGTGGTTGTAACCACAGAATAAAAGTCTGACAGGCTTATTGGAAGACTGCTGTGATAGTTTAAAGCTGACAGAAATGAAAACAGCTGAATGGAGTATACCCGGCTGGATGTACTTTATCCCGCTTATTCCATGGCTACTTGCCACAAAAGGTGAAAATTAAGCATAAAGGATTGTTTTGAGCTGTATTAGTTTATTATTCCTTTAATTAAAAGCAAATCTGATAGAAAGGAAAATGGCTAAATGAAGCATACACTAACCTACACATTATTCAGTTGCAAAATGGCGCCAAACGTGGAGTACTGTTGTACTGTAGGGCTTTTTTCTGTGAAAACAACTGTCTAGACGTACTTTATCCGACTTATTACTTGGCTACTTGCCACAAAAGGTAATACATTTTACACAAAACATTGCTCTGAGCCATAATAGTTAAATCTTTACTTTAGATATTAAATTTTGAATGTATTATGCAAGGGATAAAGTACATCCAGGCGGTTGTAATCGCAGAATAAAAGTCTGACAGGCTTATTGGAAGACTGTTGTGATAGTTCATTATTCTTTTAATTAAGCACAAAGCTGAAAACAGCTGAATGAGGCATACCCGGCTGGATGTACTTTATCCTGCTTATTGCATGGCTACTTGCCACAAAAGGTAAAACAAATTCAACGTAAAGTATTGTTTTGAGCTGTAATAGTTTATAATTGCTTTAATTATAGGCAAAGCTGACAGAAATGGAGCTGATGGAGTATACACTAACCTACACAGTATTCAGTCACAAGATGGCACCAAACACGGAGTACAGTTGTATAGACTTAAAGGGACTTTTTTTCTGTGAAAACAACCAGCTAGATGTACTTTATCCCACTTAATACATAACTATTTGCCATAAAAGATTGAAAAATAAAGAAAATTGACACAAAGCATTGTTCAGATCCACAATGGAGCATACACTAAACTTTTTGATTTATTTTGTCCCACTTATTACGCAGCTACTTGACACAAAAGATGAAAAAAATTTTAAAAAATTATACTGTAATAGTTATACTGTATTTGTTATTTAATTAAAGGCAGAGCTGATAGAAATGAAAATAGCTGAATGGAGCAGACACTAACCTTTATTCTGTAAAAACATCTGCTGGATGTACTTTATCCTGCTTATTACACAGCAACTTGACACAAAAAGGAAAAAATGACACAAAGCATTGTTCTGAGCTGTAAAAGTTTATTAATTAATGGCAAAGCTGATAGAAATGAAAACAGCTGAATGGAGCATACACTAACCTACATATAATTCAATTACAACATTGCGCTAATTGCTGTGCTGCTGTATAACCCTAAAGGGTTTTTTTTTTGTGAAAACTTTATATTGCTTATTACATGGCTACATGGCACAAAACCTTGTTCTGATAATATATAACGTATAATTCAGTCATAAGGTAAACGTAGGTAAACAGTTGGGAAAGAAATCATACATTTCATTAAGTTATATCTGCAAAATGGTGTCTTTTGTTCATGGCCACTAAAGAATGCTTCATTGTAAAATATATATATATTGTGCTACCTAAAAGTTTTTTAGTTGAATCAAATGAACTTTTCCAGTCATCCCAACTCACATCAGTCAGTGTTTTCTCTCTTGATTTCCTCCTTCTTAACATGCCTCCTCTGTCAGTATAGGCAGTTCCTCATGCTGTGTGTGAAATCATGCTTTTACCTCATGGTTTTACTAAATTGCAAAGATGAAGGCGTTCTTCAAGGCTCTCACATTCAGTCGGCCCACAGCAATGCTCCAGATACACTCCATGTAAAATACTTCAATCAATATTGTTCAACCAATAATACAAGCTTGATTTGAAATGCTATTTTGGCATTATCATCATTATTGAAAGTTTCAAGGTGACTTATTTTTATTTGTTACTGAGAAAGATGATAAGTTTAGATAAAGCTAAAGCTATTTTGTCGCAACTAACAGTGCAAAAAAAACGATATTACATTGGCGCGACATACAAAAGAGCACAACAGAAGCGATAAAACCTTCAAAAGATCAGTAATATGCATAAAAAAATTCTTTAGACCTGTGTGGAGTGCAAAATACAGTACACATAGTAAAAATAATCGATAATAACTAAACTATCTACACTTACTAGATGGTATTGGATATTTGACGACTGATTGGTTTCCTGCATACCTCCTCATTTTTAATTGGTCAGACAAACAGAAAGTCCGCCTATAAACACCATAATCAAAATGTATTTGTGTAGTGCTTTTCACTATAGACAATGTGAATAAACATGACGTTAATATTTATAACATACCAATAAGTTCAGAACTTAAAGTTGTTTTTAGCTGAATAGAACTAGACAACAATAGTTTTCACTTTGCGATTAAATAAATGAACAATTAAGTGTAATGGAGGCCCGCTAGCGAAGTACTATACAGGTAAACCTCACTTCTCTCACTTGTAACCCATCTGTCCTACTGCACCCAACCAACGCTGAGCTGGGATCAAAAGGGCAATTCTCTGAGTTGGTTGCTGTAACAAGCAGACTAAAGACCATGGCCTGTAACGTCTGTTGTTAGAGCACCTTTTATGGTCAGAGGAGAAAGGTTTACCTGCATAGCATTTCGCTAGCTGGTCTCCGTTACATTCACCGCTCTAAACCTCACTCCCATCCCGGACGAGCCCCCACGTTTAATCTACCGGTCCTACTGCACCCAACCTGCTCTAAGCTGGGATCGAACTGGCGATTCTTTGCATGGGAGTCAGTTGTTCTAACAAGTGAGCAAAGGACCATGGCCTCTAGTGTCTGTTGCTAGAGCACTTTTTGAGGTGAGAGTAATGAGATTTACTTGCACAGCTCTTTGCTAGCAGACTACCGTTACACTCACCCCCCTAAACCTCACTTTCATCCCAGACGTGTCCCTACGTGTAACCCACCGATCCTACTGCACCCAACCCTCGCAAAGCTGGGATTGAATCGGCGATTCTTTGCATGGGAGTCGGTCGCTCTAACAAGCAGGCTAAAGACCATGGGCTCTAGTGTCTGTCACTAGAGCAGGGATATCAAACTTAATTCCTGGAGGGCCGCAGCCCTGCACAGTTTAGTTCCAACCCTGCTCCAACATACTACCTGTAGGTTACAAACAATCCTGAAGAACTCAATTAGTTTGATCAGATGTGTTTATTTAGGTTTGGAACTACACTGTGCAGAGCGGCAGCCCTCCAGGAATTGAGTTTGACATCCCTGCACTAGAGCACCTTTGAGGTCAGAGAAGTGAGGTTTACCTGCACAGCACTTTGCTAGCTGGTTTCAGTTACATTCACCCCCCTAAACCTAACTGCCATCCTGGACGAGCCCCTCACATTTAACCCCACTGCACCCAACCCTCACTATGTGATCGAATCTGTGATTCTTTGCATGGGAGTTGGTTGTTCTAACAAGTAGACTAAAAACCATGGCCTCTTGTGTCTGCTGCTTGAGCACCTTTAGATGCCCGTGGAGTTAGATTTACCTACATTGCACTTTGCTAGCTGGCCACCGTTACACTCACTCCCCTAAACCTCACTTTCATCCAGGATGAGTCCCCATGTGTAATCCACCGCTTCTGCTGCACCCAATCCAAGCAAAGCTGGGATCGAATCGGCAATTCTTTGCATGGGAGTCGGTTGCTCTAACAAGTAGGCTAAAGACCATGGCTTCTAACGTCAGTCGCTAGAGCACCTTTTGGGGTCAGAAGAGGGAGTTTTACCTGCATAGCACTTCGCTAGCTGGCCTCCGTTACACTCCTCCCCTGAACCTCACTCCCATCCCGGACGAGCCCCCACCTTTAACCCACTGGTCCAACAGCACCCAACCTGCTCTGAGATGGGATTGAGGATTGAGGTTTACCTGCATAGCACTTCGCTAGCTGGCCTCTACTGCAGAAGTATTTTACATGAGTTTACATGAATGTGTGCTGTATGTACATAGAACTTTAGATGAAGTGCATGAGTGATAATAGTTACATTTTACAATAAAAAAATGTCCGTTTTTGCTAAATGTCGTTAAACTTCACATTTTGCAACTATTTCTAAAACCGTACAACAATACAGTCCACTTTTTGATGCTATTAGTACTGGACTGGACTAAGAATCTCCTGTATTATTATTATAATTATATGCATTATATTAGGGACCCCTCTAAAATACGATGGCTCATCCCAAGGGGCTATTTATCCCATTTAATAAATGTCAGATTCATCCATTTGACATCTAGCTGTGGGGCAACTGGACTGAATCAAGAGCCTACATGTGACCGTTTTATAAAAATAATACTTTTCATATTGTCATCCTGCTTTTCACTAGCTGAAACTAATCTCCTCTATCTTTTGTTTCCTTCCTCCTTTTTTCTTGTTTCCCTTCCCCCCCTTCTTTTCTGTTCGTTTGTCTCTCTAACCCACTCAGCCACCACTGGCAACTAACCCTGACCTTCTGACCTCCTCACCCAATGATGACCTGCCCATTACCTGCCTGCAGATATCACACCTCTGCCCTAAAAAAATCAATCAATCAAAGACAAAACGAGTATCTAAGAGCCGTCACAGCTTTTCCTACAGCTCAGCGGTTGGACACGGGAGTGGATCGGACGTTCCTGTCGCTGTAGATCTGCACTCTTTATAAGCAATAAGCAATAATGATTTGCCCCACACCCTCTTAAGTCAAAGCCAGAGCTTCACGAGACGGGAATGTTGAGGAATCGGAAGCGGATTGAACATCCAGCGTACCCCAAAACCAGAGGCGGAAGTGATCCTGCAGTTACGGTAATGACTCTGAATGTAATGCATGACGGTGAAGATGATGCATACACGTCTGTGCTGCATCGCTACGTCATACACGGTTTCAGTGACGTAAAAAAACAAGAGTATTTCCCTTTCTGGAACAATCTGACACTTTTCAGTGAGGATGTATAAGCCATGCTTGCCTATCTGCTGTACAAATGTATGAAGTTTGTAGATAAATGTTCAAAGAGTGGCGTTAACAACAAAAAACATGTACAGGAAGAACATTTTTATTATGCTCCAGAGAACGTATATTTTTACAATTCGTTATTTTATACTGTCAAACATTGTGAAGAGAACTTAAAAAAAAAAAGAACAATACCGAACCCTTTATGAAGTGAAAACAATCCAGTTTTCTGAGATTGGATGTAGACGTGGATGACCAAAACCGTGGCCCTCTCGATGTGCCGATGGGGTTGATGGGGAATTATCATTTAAGTGCCTTTAGCATTGTTCTCATGTGTTCAATACGAATGTCATCTTCAGAGGGCGAATGAGCAAACTTTGGCTACACTTCCCAAAAGCATCATAAGCATCACACCATGTGAAATATGCACAGTCGTGAAGAAGACTGTGACCAAAATGAATACAACATGTAGAAAAACATCTACAATTAATGGCAAATTTATCTACAAGGAATGACACGATGTTGTTATTCTGATATGGTTTAAGCAAGGGCTGTCTAAACTCGGTCCTGGAGGGCCAGTGTCCAGCTGCTTGCTTCAACAGACATGCCTGGAAGATTCTTGTATATCTAGAATAAGCTTGATTAGCTGCTTCAAGTGTGTTTAATTGTGGTTGAAATTAAAATATGCAGGACACCAGCCCTCCAGGATTGAGTTTGGACACCCCTGGATTAAGCAGTGTAATGGCACTAGCACTGATTTTGTTTACCTCATCTGTAGAAATCATATATATTCAATGATGAAGTGGGAAATAAAGTATAATCTTTACCTGATCTCACTGGGAATTCTAGGAAGTACATTTTGGTGTATTAGTGGCTATTTAACCATAGGCTCATTCTGAAAACTTCCCCCTATACAAGGGGTGTCCAAAGTCGGTCCTGGAGGTCCGGTGTCCTGCAGATTTTAGCTCCAACTTGCCTCAACGCACCTTCAAGGATGTTTCTAAATCCTAGAAAGTGCTTTATTAGCTAGCCCAGGTGTGTCTGATTGGGATTGGAACTAAACTTTGTTGGACACCGGCCCTCCCGGACCAAGTTTGGACATCCCTGCCTGCCCTATACACTTCTGGAGGTCGCGAATTATGTAGCCAGAGGAACACTTTGAGGCAGTATGTGGCCATTCCTTTTTGTGCTTACCAGCTGACCGCTTACCTCCGTATGGACTGCTTTCCCGTTGTTATAAGTTTGTCCTTTGGCTCCCCATGTTCGTCGAAGGATTCGAGAACCAGAGCGAAGTTGACCACAACAACAATGTTCGAGTCTGGCGAAGAACAGTTCCAGAAAGCGGTAAAGAAACAAAATCAGTGCTCGTGCCGTTACACTGCTTAAACCAGGGGTGTCCAAACTCGGTCCTGGAGGGCCAGTGTCCTGCATATTTTAGTTCCAACCACAATTAAACAAACCTGATCCAGCCAATCAAGCTTATTCTAGGTATACTAGAAACGTCCAGGCAGGCGTGTTGAAGAAAGTTGGAGCTATACTCAGCAGGACATCAGTCAGTCAGTCAGTCAGTCAACGTCTTCTGGTAGATTTACGAACAAGGGCAAATGGCACTCGCGAGAGAAATTTCAGATCTTTGAAAAATACAAGTCATTTAGGGTAGACCAGGCATGTCCAAACTCGGTCCTGGAGGGCCGGTGTCCTGCAAAGTTTAGTTCCAATCCCAATCAGACACACCTGGGCTAGCTAATCAAGCTCTCACTAGGCTTTCTAAAAACATCCTTGCAGGTGTGTTGAGGCAAGTTGGAGCTAAAATCTGCAGGACACCAGCCCTCCAGGACCAACTTTGTACACCCCTGGGGTAGACATACATGAAAAATGTGCCTCACAAATGCTGAAAAGTGAGACCGAAACATTTTGATCACCACATGGTGGTAAGAAGGCCCACCCGTACACATGCAAATAATAAAATTATCAATGAATATTAGAAAAACATAACCAATTGTAAAGAGATTGTGTTGATACCTCAGTGTATACATGGATGTACAGTGGTCTTCTGCTGATTCTGCAGTCTATAGACTTGTGATGCTTTTGGGAAACAGAGCGCAGGTCAGGACACACAGCATCAGCAGCCGAAACCTGCCTTCCTGCTCCGGCTGCACAGATCAGCACTCAACACTGTCACACACACACTCCATCGCCTTCAAAACTATGGGTTTCTGCTCACTGAACTTGACTTGATTGATGTTGAAGTTCAGTGAATTGTAATCTGAATTGTAATTGTAAGAGGCATTTTGACTTTAATACTTTGATCAGTATTTTTGTTTTTCTTTACAATAAAAAGTCTAAATATCTCTAATACAGTTATTTCTATTAATATTTTGCTACTCATCTCATAATGTTGCCAAGCCTTGCCCTAGCAACCATTTAGAGCACGTTAGCAACTGATGCCTTGCACTGCAGTTGCAAGGGAACGTTATTGTTAATTATTGCTACCAACATGCTAATTAAAATATTTCATAATAAAAACATAGCAACATGTAAATTATTGTTAGCAACATGTTAATTCTAGCTTACAGCATTTTAATTACAGTTAAAGCAACAAATTCATGTTAGAAAGATGCTAGTAATGTGAAAATTAAGGCCGGGAAACGTTCATTTTTGCAAAAAAAAATGTGCTAATTCATTTCAAAAACAGCCTTGCAACATTTTAATTCTTGCTAGCATGAAGTTAGCATCAAGTTATTACAAGCATGCTGCTAACATAAATTCAACCTTCACGATCAATGCATGCTAACAACATGCTAATTAAAAATATTTTATGCTAAAAACATTACAGCAGCATGTTAATTCTTGCTAACTCATTCTAATAGTTAAAAATGATTTCATGTTTGAAACATGCTAGTCACGTTCAATTTCATGCTGGGAAACATTAATTCTTGCTAAAAACATGCTAATTTGTTTTTTAAAAAAAGTCTCCAACATCTTCATTTTTGCTAAAATAAAGTTATCATCATTTTATCACAAATTAGCATGCTGCTTACAAATTAAACCTTCGTGATCATGTTTCTAGCATAAAATAATGCTAGAGACATGCTTATTAAAATATTATATGCTAAAAACATTACAGCAGCATGTTAATTATTTTTTAAAACATGCTAGTGACGTGCTAATTGATGCTGGGAAATGTTAATTCTTCCTAAAAACATGCTAATTCATTTTAACAACAAGCTTGCAAAATGTTAATTCTTGCTAGCATGAAGTTAGCATCAAGTTATCACAATTTAGCATGCTGCTAACATAAATTAAACCCCGTGATCATGTTTCTAGCATTAATTCATGCTAACAACATGCTAATTAAAAATATTTTATGTTAAAAATATTACAGTAGCACGTTAATTATTGTTAGCAACATGTTAATTTTTGCTAACAACATTCTAATAGTTAAAAACAAATTCATGCTAGAAACGTGCTATTGATGTGCAAATTCATGCTGAGAAACATTCTTTCTTGCTTAAAAAAAATGTTAATTTGTTTTAAAAACAGGCTTGCGACATGTAAATTCTTGCTAGCATGAAATGAGCATCAATTTACCATGAATTAGCATACTGCTAACATAGATTAAACCTCCACAATCATGTTTCTAGCATAAATTCATACTGATTAAAAATATTACATGCTAAGAAAATTACAGCAGCATGTTAATTATTGTTCGAAACATGCTAGTGACATGCAAATAATTGCTGGGAAACATTAATTCTTGCTAAAAACATGCTAATTCATTTTAAAAACAGACTAGTTAATTCTTGCTAACATGAAGTTATCAAAAATTAGCATGCTGTTAACATGAATTAAACCACGCGACTATGTTTCTAGCATAAATTCATGCTAACAAAATGCTAATTAAAAATATGTCATGCTAAAAACATTACAGCAGCATGGTGATTATTGTTAGCAACATGCTAATTCTTGCTAACAACATTCTAGTTAAAAACAAATTTATGTTAGAAAGATGCTAGTGACATGCACATTCATGCTGGGAAACATTCATTCTTGCTAAACCATGCTAATTTGATTTAAAACAGGCTTGCAACATGTCAATTCTTGCTAGCATGAAATGAGCTTCAACTTAAATTTACACTAGAAACATGACCGTGAAGATTTATTTTATGTTAGCAGCATGCTATTAATTTTACCACAAATTAGCATGCTGCTAACATATAATAGACCTTCGCGGTCATGTTTCTAGCATAAATTTATGATAATTTATGCTAGAAACATGAGCAAAAAGATTTAATTTATGTTAGTGCATGCTAATTCGTGCTAAAATTAGGCTAACTATGCTTATTCATGCTAGCTCATTTCATTAGTGATTTATACCATTTTATTTGTATATCTGATAGCAATGATTTGATGTAAATGTTTCAATAATTAAAATTTAACACATACTGATTAAACTGAGCTATTTAGAGGACATAAAAGATCATGTGTGAGGGGATAGGAAGAGTGTGTTTCAGTGTTAGCAGTGAATAAGCTGTGTGTTCTGCCTGCACCGTATCACCATAATATTTGTGCCCCCTCAAAAGCTCTTTCTTTACTATGCAACAGAATGGCTTCTGACGTCAAGAGGGGAGTCTCTGTGACATCAAACATGTCTTCCTGTTGTGTCTGCATTTCTCCTGACGTTCACTTATGATTCTGCAGTGCCATAACAGCATTCTTATTGAAGTACTGATGTGTTTTGAAAATGCTTTAACGTTTGAAATGCGAATGATCTATGTATTAAAAGCAGTTTTTTGGTTAAGAACAGATGTTGATTACCGAATTTAAAAAAAGATGAGAGGCAAGTTATTCAGTAAACGATAAAGCATGATGTCTCACACTCGATTAGCAATTAAAATATATATTACTCAGATTGCTTCTGGTTTTGAAAACGACCCTGCTAAAATATCCAGCTTAAACCAGCCTAGGCTGGTTGGCCGGTTTAAGCTGGTTGACCAGCCTGGTTTAAGAGGGGTTTTGGCCACTTCCAGGCTGGTTTCCAGCTATTTCCAGCCTGGTCTTACCTGGTCAGGCTGGAAAATGATCAGCTAAAATCAGCTTGACCAGCCTGGTATAAGCTGGACATAGCTGGTTTTGGCAAGGCTCCCAGCCTGGCTAGGCTGATCAAGCTGGTTTTAGCTGGTCAT